AATTAGTGTGGCCCTTCTCAAGATGCTATAGAAGTAATAGCCTGCAATATTTAAAATAGCGTTTTGCCAAAAAGAATGCCAAATATATCCCAGAAATTAAAGATTTAAACATCTAATTTTCTTTCCAGGACCATTGGCCATTGACCGGAAGAGTACGAATTTTGCTGAGCACGGGCTGGTTGTTAGGTTACTACGACCCCGAGACAGCTAGTGGCAAGATGACTTGAGATTTTGCTGAGTACGGAGTTCCAACTGCTGTTCAAGGCGGTGTGTACGCAATTGGAGCGAGTGGTCGTGGAGGGTTTTTTCCAACATGGGTGGCAGCATAACCTCCGTATCGGCCCATCACATCCTTCAACATAGGCATAGTGACGGTGCCGATATGTCATCTTTTTATTTTCTTTCCGACTATTTGTGTTTGGCTGTATGCATCCTACCTATGCAGAGGACGGGTGTTACTCATCATAATTAGTATCTTCTTGATGGTACGTTTTGAGTTAATAAAGACGCCCTCTATCGGAAAAAAAAAACCCTCCATGGCCTCGTTCTCATCCACTGCACCTACACTGGCTATCATGCCTGCAACCCTTCAACTGGTGAAACCCTGGCTCTCCCCTACTTTGTCCAAGCAAACTTGAATAAAAGCCCTTAGATCGTGATGATCGTGGATACCACCTTCAGCAAGCATAGTGACCTGGGAGTGCACGTTACCAGCTATATATATTCTCGTCTTGTATCTTCTCGGCCATGTCATGGACAATTTATTCTCAAAGCTTCATGTGCAATCATGCCACGGGATGCGGTGAGAACATAGAGCTTGATAGCGCTGAGGGTGACACAATCTTGGCAGGTCAAGCTGGGTTGGGTTGCGACTGAGAGAATGACCAGCATGTGCTGGTGCTTCTGACTAAGCCCTGAATTTTACGACATTGTAGATATTTTTCTACTGCATGTAACATTGTAGATATATATAATTTTCTCTGTAATAAGCTTTGGTTGAATTTTGCGATGTTTCTCGACCTGTGTGGTTTCAGTTTGGACTTGCAAAATTGCAACATGATAGGTTATGTCACGCCCATCTTTTCAGTTATCTTTTCAGTTTTGTTATGTCGGTCCTTACGTGACTTGTACTTTAATCTTTATGATATGAATAAGACACGTATTACCATGTAAAAAAAAGGTTATGTCACGTCCATGTACGTTCCAACTTGCATTGGCAGGCTAGGTCTAGAGTCATTGATCTATTACATCTACTCGCATACACCGGAAACCTACATATGTGTGGATTCTGCTTTGCCTCCTAAAAGGTGGCGAGCAAGAGGTGTGTTGAGTCAAACACGTACGGCATAATTAGCCTTCCGATGTCGGTACATGTACGTACGTGCCTAGGTTGGTTAAAAAATAATTGAATACTAAGCAGACGGATTGATTTCGGGCACAAGCAGCGCCCTTCCTCTCCTCCCGGCGGCTCCAACCCTAGCAGCCGCCAGGAGAGCCAATCTTCCAGTGCCGTCCTTCGGCGGCTCCCCTCCGTCGGCGACCTCAGTCGTCGGTGGTGAGGGGGGTCGTTGGATTCATGCGTGTGGATTGTTTTTACTTCGTTGTAGTGTAGATTTTTAGACTGTTCATTGTCTTGGCTTCAGCGGCGACGGTTACGGTGTTGAATAAAGATTATTCGGATCCTTCCCTGACGAGGTCATCGGCTCTATGGTTGGAGATGGATTTGAAAACCAGTCTGTTCAAGTAAGGATGGCGTGGCGGATACGGCATCCTCGTGGTGGACATGTGTCCTCGGGCTCGGCCGTTGCGGACTCGATCGTGGACATCGCTATGCATGGTTCCTTGGTAACCTCTAAGTTGACTGAAAATGAATCTGCTAATGAGGGTTACAAATTTGGTCGAGAGGAAGAAACTTATAATATTGTGGCTGCTCATGGTTATTTTGGCCGATTAATCTTCCAATATGCTAGTTTCAACAACTCTCGTTCTTTTTACAATTCTTCTTGGCTGCTTGGCCTGTAGTAGGAGTCTGGTTCACTGCTTTAGGTATTAGTACTATGGCTTTCAACCTAAATGGTTTCAGTTTCAACCAATCTGTAGTTGATAGTCAAACTCCGTAGTAATTCAGCAAGAGACAGCAACAGTGACTTTGCCCGATGAAATCCTCATGGAGGTCCTCTCCTACCTGCTGAACAAAGTCAATCGGTCGCCACTAATTGAATACATTCAATGGTACACGGCCTTGTTAGCGAGTCAGATTCATCTGTTTTCTTTTCTTGGGCTGAAAGGTTGGCCGTTGGCACTAGCCAATTAGTTTTACTTTTGGATATGCTGGCATGCGTACGTAGCCAATTAGTTTTACTTTTGGGCTGAAAGGCATGCGTACGTAGTGGCATGCATGGTTGTCTGTCTCGAATCTCTCGTCTGTCATGTTAGGACGTGATCATAACACTTGTTCCTTGCATCAAATATTCAGATGGACTACCAAGTGCAGACTTGACTTGATTTCCCTTGCATCAAATAATTTGCAACTCTTTCTTTGCGAGAGAAATCATTTGCAACTTTTTATAGCACTGTTTTTCATATTTCATCCTAGGAAAGAAGATAAGTGGAGGACTGCGATGGACGATCGAGAAAATGTATCCCTCTTTGTTTGTCACGTACTCCCTCCGTCTCAAAAATTTCTGTCTTAGATTTGTCTAGATACGAATGTATTTAACTAAAATAGGACTTGATACATCCGTATGTAGACAAATTTAAAACAAGAATTTTGGGACGGAGGGAGTACAAATTTAAGAAAACATTGTGTCGCCGAACCGATTCCCTCAAAAGGAAAAAAAATTATCGTGTCACATACCTGCAACATCTTTCGGTACCACTCTGCAATGCAAGAGGAGGATGACGACGACAACGCTGCCAAACATGGTATATTCCGCCAGTCATAAAAATATGCACGTATCTCGGTGAATAGATGATGCACCAACCGTAGACCTTCACGCAGGCGGTCGGCTCTGGTCGGGTGAAATATCGGGTAAATAAAAACAGGGGGAAAATTCAAGTAATAGAGAAACAAAAACAAAAGCTAAAATCAGGTAAATTATTCAAGTAGTAGAATCCAGTGCTTCAGTGCTTGTAGTTGTCGCTAGGGGGTCTATGGACCTGGATGTAAATTTTACTTCTAGCGTTCTTTGTACTACCTTAACAGTTGATGAATAGATCGAAAGTTTTCTTGAAAAAAATAAAATGAGTAGTAGAATCAAGCTAGCTGCTCACCTTGTGTTTCAGCTAATAATTTTGCCAGCTAAAAGAAGAAAAGCAAAAGAAAAAAAAGGCAGAAAAGAAAGAGGAAGGTGGCGTAGTGCAGCCGTGGTGGTGGGCGACGACGTCTCCGATTGGTCACAAGCCAGCCAAAATTCCACTCCAGATTCCCACCCTCGGCCCTAGACCAACTCCATGGCCGCCGCCGGCGACGACGCGCCCGCGGGGCTCTTCTCCGGCGTCTGGTCCCGCCTCCACGCCGCGGCCTCCCTCTGGCGCCGCCGGGGCCAGGCCTCCCGCGACGGCGAGCGGGAGGAGGAGGACGGGGAGGCCACCGTGCGGTCGCGCCTGGCGAGGCGGGCGGCGGCGGCGCGGCGGGTCGGCCGGAAGCTCGCCTTCGTCTCCTTCAACCTCGAGGTGAGCTAGCTCGTGCTCTGGCTCTCTCCCAAGAGAGGTTGCTTCGGGAGGTAGGGGCGCGCTTCAGGTGGTTGCTTGTATGCGCAAGCCAAGTCAAGCAGTCAGCCGGCTCGCCGTCGCTAGTACTACCCACGATCACGGATGAGCTCCTAGTTCTTACTTTGCCTGGAGAAATCCGGCGGTACCTACCGGTGAAATATGCTGGAGTAATTCACCTCCAGTTCTTTGGACAAATTTAATTACAAACCAGAGTTATTCAGTGATCTTTAGTTCACTATTTGTCGGCTCTTTCGGCATGTAGATGTAGCGACGATGCACGCACAACTGGACTGCACAATCTGTGATGTTCTTGCTTGTTTCAAACTAGTAGTAACTACTACTGTTCAGAAACAATTTACGCCTGTTCAGCTAGAATGGACAGTCTGTTCTGTTTTTGTTATTTCACAAACAATTTATGCCTGCTTGTGACAGTGATAGTAGGCGGCAGGATGTTACCTGTTCGCTGTTTCCGTGCTGGGGTTGCTACACGGATTGTTCATTTGTCTTTCGCATTGAGCAGGTGCTGGTATTCATCTACGCGTTCTGGAGGGCGAGGAGACGGAGTCTGACCTGGAGGCAGCCCATCCAGGTGCTGCCCGTGCTTGCCGTCCCTGCTCTCGCCACGCTCATCTATGCCGCCTTTGTCCGCTTCACCAGAATGCGTAAGAATTTTCGCTTCCCATTTCATGTCTGCACACACCCAAACATATGAATAATGCTGCTAGTTCTAAAGCAGTTGTCCTCCCTGGTCACAACTCACAAGTCACCCAATGTGGAGTTATAAACTTGTTTTTGTTTAAGTTCCAGTAGCAAAATCTTCCCAAACTGCTAAAATGAGTGCCTTGTAAATTCTGATAATGCATTGGTGACAAGTATCTCCTGATTGACCCCAGCTAATCTTGCTCTGCAGTTGACCTAAAGGACAAAAGAACACTTGAAAGACTTCAAGAGGACAAGCCGCAAAATGAGTGTGAACCAAGGGAGTCAGTTGACCTCAAGGACAAGGAAACACTTGAAGGACTTCAAGAGGACAAGCAGCAAACTGAGTGTGGACCAAGGGAGTTTGACCGGAACAACCAAAACAATGTCCAGGTCTGTCTGTTTGTTTCAACATAATGTTCTGCAGATAGTTTTAATCCACCAGTGCCTTTTAGTCCTGTTCTTCTGACATCGTCCTTCTAGTGAACATATTTGGTGTTTATTTGCTGGTGCAGAACTGTGATGATGTGGAAGATGCTAGTAATTCTCTGGTTGGAACTGATTCAGCAGCACAAACTGCTAAGCTTATGAAACATCGCCAGTCGAGCATTAAGCATAGAGATGATGGTGGAGCAGATATGGCTTGGGGTCATAGCAAGGATTTCCAATCAGCACCCTCAGGTGGACTAAGGATGAGAAGACTGTCAAGTTCAAAAACATACATGACCAGCAGCAGTTTTATAGAAAGAAGTGTGGAAAAGACACAGGAAACGCCATCTGTCTCTGCACATTCAGATCAGCATGTCCATGTCCCTGTTTCCACTGAAGATACTATTTCGTATCCTTTCGATGATTGCCGCAGCATGCATGTTCAACCTGCAGATACCCCTCAAGAATTGTCTGAAGGAGATGCTGACGAAGAAGGGTTTGATGGATTATGGGACATTGTGGAAACTCGTTCCAATTCCAGCAAGGAGAATCCCATATCTCCCGTTGGTTCTCATAATATTTTTTATGACGGAGACGATTCACGCTCCCCTGCATCTCCACCAGACGACCTTGTTGCTCATAATAGCTTAAATGACTTCAGCGGCAGCCCTGACTTGTCTGGTCCGGTATTACCTGCATCAGAAACCTTGAAAATGTTGCCTCCAGAAAGTGTCAGGGAGGAAGCATTGCTTGATCTGCAAAAGTCAGAAGTGTTGCATATGTATTCTTTGACTCCAAAGGAAAACCCTACTCCGAATGCAGTCAATGATAAGGAGCTGCCAATCACTCCTGACATGGGGACCTATTCAGAGTTGCTTGGCGAGGGAGTCGAGGAGACAGAATCGTCCATGTTCCATATACCAGAGGAAAGTATGCGGCCCTTCATCTCAGAGGAGGTTTTACTGGGCCCAGTTGCAGCCAATAGTATTGAACATTGCTTGGGAACTCCAGAGTTCTCTTTGTGCGGTCAAGAGACTGAAAAATTGGAAGTTGTTGGAAGTGCCAAGTTTACTAATGGCAGTCCTGAGTCAAGCTTCTTATCTTCTCCGGAGTTAGTTGTGGAGAGTGCTGAGGATGCCGCTGAGAAAGAATTATGTGAATTAAACACAAAGGAGGAGAATGCTATGCTCATCAGTATGGAGGAGCCTTTGCAAGATCCACTTATAGTGAGTACTAGTACTAGTGAACAATGCCTGGAAAGTTCAGATGTCTCTTTGTGCATTCAAGATGCCAAGGCGGGGGAAGTTTCTGGAACTATAAACTTCGTTACAGCCAATCATGAATTAATGTACACAGCGTCTCCAGTGTTACTTGCAGAAGGCGACGAGGACTTGAAGGAGGATAAAACATGTGGCTTGCATTTACTGGAGCAGAACGGCCTTCCTATAAACTTTGAAAAGGAACCTATTTTGGATTCAGCTGACACTGCTGAGGATGTCGAGATAACAGAAGTTCATGATGTTGTCAAGGAGGGTTTGTTTGAGTCAGAAGGCGAGGAAACATTTACTCATGGGAAGCTTGGTGCCGCTTCTTCGAATGCTGATAGTAACACTGAAAATTTGATAACTGACTCAATTGGTGTTCAAATTATTCCAAACCCCGACATAAATGAAGCACTTGAAGGTGGCTGGGAAGCATTTTCTGAGCCGCTACACCATGGCACTCGCCATTCTGCAGGAATGTTCTTATCTTCAGGGGAGATCAATAATGACGTCTATTCTTTGGCTCCAATGGAGATCCCTACTTCATATGCAGTCAATGGCAAGGAACTGCCAATCACCCCTGATATGGAGAGCTATCCAAAGTTCTTTGGCGAGGGAGTCGAAGAGATAGTATCGTCCAAGTTCCATATACCAGAGGAGAAACATTGCTCCGGGGCTCCAGAGGTCTCTGTATGCGGTCCAGAGACTGAGAAAATGGAAGTTGGTGGAAGTGTCAGCTTTATCAATGTCAGTCCTGACTCGAGCTTCTTATCTTCTCCAGAGTTAGTTGTGGAAGGTGCTGAGGATACCACCATCGGGAAAGGATTATGTGAATTAAACACAAAGGAGGACAATGCTATACTCATCAATATGGAGGAGCAAGCTTTGCAAGATCCACTTATAGTCAGTACCAGTACTGTTGAACAATGCTTGGAAACTTCAGATTTCTCTTTATGCATTCAAGATGCCAATGCGAGGGAAGTTCCTGGAATTACAGACTTTGTTACAGCCAATCCTGAATTAATGTACCCAGCATCTCCAGAGTTACCTGGAGAATATGATGAAGACTTCAAGGAGGATAAAATGTCTGACTCGCACTTACCGGAGCAGAATGGACTACCTTTTAATTTTGAAAAGAAACCTATTCTGGACTCACCTGTAGCCTATACTGCCGAGGATATTGTCAAGGAAGATTTGTTTGAATCAGAAGGCAAGGAAATATTTAGTTATCAAAAGCTTGTTGTCGCTTCTTCAGATGGTGATAGTAACACCCAAAAATTGATAACTGACTCAATTTGTGTTCAATTTATTCCAAACTCCGACATAAATGAAGATCTTGAAGGTGGCCATGAAGCATTTTCCGAGCCGCTACACCATGTCACTCGCCATTCTGAAGAAATTTTTTTATCTCCAGGGGAGATCAATGATGAAGAAGTCTATTCTTTGACTCCAATGGAGAGCCCTACTTTGTATGCAGTCAATGAAAAGGAACTGCCAATCACTCCTGACGTGGAGAGCTACCCAGAGTTATTTGGTGAGGGAGTTGAGGAGATAGTATTGTCCAAGTTCCATATGCCAGAGGAGAGTTTGACACCCTTCAACTTGGAGGAGGTTCTACCGTGCTCGCTTGCAGTCAGTAATATAGAAAATTGCCCCGGGGCTCCAGAGTTCTCTGTATGTGGTGAAGAGACTGATAAAATGGAAGTTGCTGGAAGTGTCAGCTTTATCAATGTCAGTCCTGAGTTGAGCTTCTTATCTTCTCCAGAGTTAGTTGTGGTGAGTGCTGAGGATGCCACCGAGAAAGAATTATGTGAATTAAATACAAAGGAGGACAATGCTATACTCATCAATATGGAGGAGGAAGCTTTACAAGATCCACTTATGGTCAGTACCAGTACTGTTGAACAATGCTTGGAAACTTCAGATGTGTCTTTACACATTCAAGATGCCAATCCTAAATTGATGTACCCATCATCTCCAGAGGTACTTGGAGAATATAATGAAGAATTCAAGGAGGATCAAAAGTCTGACTCGCACATACTGGAGCAGAATGGCCTACCTTTTAATTTTGAAAAGGAACCTATTCTGGATTCACCTGTAGCTGATACTGCCGAGGACGTCGAGATAACAGAGGTTCATTATGTTGTCAAGGAAGGTTTTTCTGAGTCAGAAGGCGAGGAAGCATTTAACTATCAAAAGCTTGCTGTCACAGATTCGGAGGATGATAGTGACACTCAAAATTTGATTATTGATTCAATGCCAGTGAAATTCCTTCGAAACAGCGACCTAAATGAAGTTCTTGAAGGTGGCCAGGAAGCATTTTCTCAGCCACTACGTCAAAGCACTCGCTATTCTGAAGGAATGTTCTTATCTTCAGCGGAGATCAATAATGATGAAGTCTATTCAAGCAACTCAAATTCATATGCCAATGTGGTGGAAGATGCTGCACCCTCTGAAGGACTTTCTAAGTTTGAAGATGAAATGTCTATTGCTTCTTTAGATACTTCCATCTGCCTGGATGAGGTTAAAAGTGCAGCTATTGTTGACATTGATATAGTCAGTCCTAAACTGAGCCTTCAAGCAGAGCTGCGTGGTGGGGGAGTTGAGGAGAATGAACAGTCCAAGTTCCATCTAACAGAGGAAATCACAACACCCTTCAATTTGGAGGCGGAAGTTTTGCTATCCCCAGTTGCAGTCAATAATAGTGAATACTATGCGGAGACTCCAGAGTTCTCTTTATACAATGAAGAGAGTGAGGAAATGGAAGTTGTTGAAAGTGTCAGCTTTGTTAAGGCCAGTCATGAGTCGAGCTTCTTATCCTCTCCAGAGTTAGTTGCAGAGGGTGATGATGATGCTAGGGAGAAAGAAACACGCGAAGTAAGCACAAATGAGGAGAATGAGACACTCATCAATTTGGAGGAGAAACCTTTGCAAGCTGCGCCTGTGGTCAGTACTACTGATCAGTGCTTGGAAACACCAGTGTTTTCTTCATCTAGTGAAGAGACGACGGATGTTCCAGAGATTGTCAGCTTTGTTACAGTCAGTCCTGAATTAAACTACTCTGTATCTCCTGAGTTACTTGCAGAGAGTGAAGATGGCATCAAGGAGTATGAAACGTCTGACTTGCACTTACATGAGCAGAAAGCCCTACCTTTTAATTTGGAGGATCCTTTTCTGGATCCACTTGTAGTTGATAGTGCTGAAGATGCATTAGCCAAGTCTGAAGTGGGCAAGATAACTGAAGTTCAAGGAGTCGTCGAGGGAGTTTTGCCTGAATCAGAAGATGAGGAAGTAGTTGACCATCTAAAGCCTGTTCTCGCCTCTCCAGATGATGATACTGCTGCTCAAAATTTGATAAGTAATTCAACATTTGCCCAGTTCATTCCAGACAGCAGTGTAAAGGAAGGTTCTCAAGCTGGTCAGCAAGCATTGCTTGAGTCTCCGCATGAAAGCACTTGTCATTCTGAAGGAACATTCTTATCTTCAGGCATGAAGATAACACCATTTGCTGGTCAGGAAGGACTTTCTAAATCTGAAGATGAAATAGCTTCGACTTCTCTGGAGGTTAGAACTGCAGAAAATTTGACAGCCAACTCTGGACCTTCTCAGTCTATCCCAGACAGCAACGGATCTCAATCTCTTCACGACCAGGAACAAGCTCCATCTGAAACACTACAGGACGTTAATTTTCTTATCGAGGGAAGTCACACATCCTCAGATGAGGGCATAAACTCTGAAATATTTTCGCTCTATTCCAGGTCATCTTCATGTGTTTCAGAGATCAATATGCTGGAATCTCTCAGAAGTGGAACATCTTCTGAACCAGAAAATGATCGTGGTTTAAGCTTTGATGAGAGGAACCGTGTGATATTTCACAACCTGGACAGTACAGAAAATTACACAAACAATCCAGCGACTGCTGAATCTATGACCAACATGATTGAAACTCTTAATATTGCTGATGAAACAACTGCTGGTTCACCGCATGAAGTTTCTTCAAACTTTGTGGACTCTTTTGTAGCTCCAGATGTAATCAATGGCATGACACAATCAGATCAACACTTGGACTTATCATCCTCTTCATTTGCTCCAGTGGTTGATGCATTTGAAACATTGCAAAGTGGTCATGTTTTTTCCGAGCCTCAACTTGAAAATGATGTTACGTTTGAGGAGACCCAAATGTCCCCTAAGGAGGCTGATGATGCTGAAAACTATTTCATCAATACAATTGATGATCCTCAAGATAGTGAGAGAACATCAACTGTAGCTTTGGAAGATGAAGATGATTTAACTCTTCATAAGGCTTACATGTCTCCTGAAGATATCAGTGAAGTCGAAAATTCTTTGGCTGATGATTATGCTTCAGATCTTCCTCACATGCCAGAGAACCACTGCTTCAGCGAAAAAGTATCACCTGAATCTCAGGACCCCTTAAGTTCTGAGGAGATTTTGGTTCATCCAGAGGGTTTGAAAACTGAAAATGATTTAGACGGTGCAAAGTCATCCTTGTTTTCTACAGAGGTCAACTTGGCTGAACTTTGGGGCATTGCTCACGAAGGAACTCTGCAACAAGATGAAACCATGTTGGGTTTTGAGGAAGCCAATTCTGAAGATCACTATGACAATTCAAGGTCCCTAGATATTCCAGATGTCACTGTGGCGGAGAGTCTCCAAGCAGCAGAGAGATCATCATCTGAGATACTTTACGATGGCATGTTCAGTTTCGAGGGGACATTAATATCTCTAGATGGTGATGACAATGCTGAGGATTTTACTAACAATTCAGGTTCTGATATGCATACTGCACAGACCGACACTACAAGTCTCCCTGGTCTTCAAGAAGGGTCTTTCAAGCCAGAAGATGAGAATGCAGTTAATTCTATCACCCCATATGAGGTTGATACTGAAGAATCAAGTAGCTCAAATCGTGGTAATTCCAGCTCCGCTTCATCTCGTCATGACATCAGCTTCATGGAGGCTCCTCGGCCCCGGGAACTGCCTATAGACGCTGGAAGAGGAAAAGGTGAATGCCTGTGTTAATAACTTTCTGAAAATAGATCCCTGTTATTGCTGTTATGCGATGTGCCGCCTTGCTTAGAAAATATTTAGATCTGAAATGAGTGGTGTTACATAGAACAACCTGCACTCACTCATAGTGCATTTATAACAAATAATGTGGCTAAGATAGTGTCCTATATGTTTTACATAATCTAAAATCAGAAATAGAAAAGAGTGCTATGAAAAAAAAAACAGTTCAATGACCTTTTTTATTGATTATTAGCATTGCAGCTATATATATGTTCATCGAATCTGTACTGTCACTTCATTGGAGAAAATGAAATTGGATCCTTATTAATTGATGCCTTCTTATTCTTCAGTTCTCATCAAGGATAAGGAACCAAAAGACGGTGAATCTGAGGTGATGAAAGAGACTGTCGAAGATTTGGATGATGACCATGAGGTGAGTAGCACTCCCTCAGATGCTGCTTTGAATTTGTATCTTCTTTGTTGAGGTGAGTTATATTTTTTCTATTTGAATTATGATTGAACAATGTAACTGAACTCTGCTTACTGGCTTGATATGATTTCTGCAGACGAAACAAGTTGTCACAATCAGTCATAGCACTGGGAGCAGTAATGTATCTGAGCTAGCTGACTTGCAGTACACCGAGTCGGTTGATGATGATACTGAAACTCTTAGTGCTCCTCTACCTTCATCTGCTGCTACAGATATTTGAAGCAGGTTAAATGATAAAGCTGCACGTGTTTCAGTAGAATGGTCAACTGCTGAATAACCTCCCACAAGAGCATCTAAAAGCTTGCAACTGGAGCTGGTTCTGTTGTGCTTTTTTTAAAGCTTCTAATACTGGAGAAGTACAGATTGGAGATTGTTCTTGTTAGTTTTGTGTGCTCAGAGGATGAGGGAAAGAAGTCCAATACATGGGGGTTTTGTACAAAGTAATACGAGAGTTCTCAAAAATCATCTTGAGGTGAAAAATTGGAATCGCCTCTGGATAGGGTTGCTTGCGCTTGGAGTGGAAATGCCCTAGTTCTTGCCTTTTGCCATCAAGAATCTAGGATTTGTTGAAAGATAAGGCTATCTTTCATAGTTTTCACTCTCTCTTTTGTTTTTTTAGTTCGGGTTGAAGTTGTATAGTTCTGTATATCTGGGTAAATATACTGCCATCAGTAGCCCATGTATAATATGTCATAGTGTGATATTCTTTAGGCAGTGGTACTTTGCATGAGTGCCTCATTTGGTGCCTTTTTTTTGTATGAGTTGAAGGGTATTAAAGCATTGCAATTTTACAACAGAAGTTTCTGTTTTGATTTTGGTAATGAGTAAAAGCGAGAGATTCTTCTAGTGCACTTCAAGTTGGTACATCATATATCTTGTCACATATTTTTCCTAGTTTTTTCATATACTCATATGCATTCTAAGTTATTTTTTCTTCAATAGTTGTTGCTATTTTTTGTGGCTTGTGAATTACCGAGGCTTTCATTATAAATTTGTCCTGCAGCTATTGTACATAAGTATTGTGTTGCAGTTCTTTATCAGTCAAACAATGGCTCTCTGTGAAGACCATCCCATCCATGTCCTGAGACAACCCCATCGGAGAGGTATTACATTTGGTAACTCAAAATTGTTGCATCTCATGTTACAAGATGTGTGATACTCCCTCCGTCCTAAAATAAGTGACTCAACTTTGTACTAACTTTAGTCCATAGTGAGTACAAAGTTGAGTCACTTATTTTAGGACGGAGGGAGTACTATTTTGATTCTGATAAGATCCAGTACTAGTAAACTATAGTTCGGTCCAAACTAGTTTGTCCACTTGTCATATATATGAAATTTGGGTGTATTTCTGTGATTTGTGTGATTGATAGGATATCCTGAGAACTGTCAGCCTGTCACCACTCACCCTAGATGAACCATGTTTAATGAGGCTTGTCTGGTTTGTCAGTACTTGTCTGATACAATGCACTTTGATTGATTAACCTCTCAGTTGTGCATCATTGCATTCATGCCGCCAGCTGTCAGTGAACTGTTACAATCTCGTGGGTTTTGGTCGGCGGATCATGGTAGATGCTTCAGATCACAGTGACATGGTTGACTTGCATAGAGTATCGATCCCAAACTTTAATTTTTTTGTCAATCTCACGTAGTGCTGTGGTTAACTGTATGTCAACCCATTAAATCTTTTGGATGATAATGCTTGATGTGAACAGCCTGAAATCAGGGACCTCATGTGCTCCATGATGCCATCTGTCTGATGAAAGATGTGTCTTGTCATGCAGGCAGTCTAGTCTGAGTTCGTATATTTTTCTAATGCAAACCCACAATAGGTGCCCTCGGAGTTGAAGGACTCTGATAGTAAGCAATGTGCCACAAACTCGGTATATTGCGTCAGTTTTCCTGTAGATTATATTTTTCAGGTCCTAAATTTGTACCATCTTCATTTGAGTGCATGTACCACATCACATGGTTGACATTTAGCCTTGTAGTTCATATGTTTACCAGAAGCAACAGCTGAATTGCGTTTCTCTTGAGTTGACCTTATTGCTTCTGTTCTTTTGATGTTTACGCAGGAGCAGCGGCTCGTGCATGGACAGCTAACGCCTGTACGCTTCTGAATATGAGCCAGTAAAATACCCCGGAAAGAAATAAAAGTTGTGCAGCTCCCAAGATCGATGAGCAGTACCAATCCCCCTTCCGCGACCAGCCATGTTGTCCTCACACGCCATCCGCTGGAGCATGGATGCGGGCTCTCTGAATGGCAGTCCAGATGCAGAGGAACCGACTCCATGAGTTTTAAAAAGGGGCTTCTTCAGGTCAGACATCATGTTTCAGAATCTCTGGGCTCTTATATATATCTTTGGTTGCCCTGCGAATTATTGCACGCTTCTGCCAGTTCAATATTGGGGCAGGATCAGGGTGGGGGGAGTAGTAGTTGCCGCGCACAAATACTAATGATCCGAAAGATGCTCTGTTTCTTAATTATATGCTGAATGTGCACAGTTCGTGCGTGATCAAAAGCATTATTCTGTGGTGCTCCAGAATTAGCTACTCTTCGCGACGTGGATGGTTTAGTGCACCTGCTGTTGGGTGAGCAACATAGGCTGTGGTCGGGGTAGATACACCTTCTCTTCAATGTTATTTTGAACTCGGCTCCAATTTCAGCGCCTTACATTGCATACCTTAACCCTTCCTTCCTCGGCCTGAAACCGTCGACAGGTTCAGTGTTCTGGCCATAGTTTTTGTTGGCCGAAACAAGAGACAGTGCACCTAGCAAAGTTGCCCGGCTCCTTGAGATGTATCCGAATTAGGCAACCAACTAACGCGATTCGAAATCATGAGAGTGAAGCAAGCATGCATGCCCATTGTCTAGAGATCAGCCTACCAAATCAGTATACTAGTCAGTATCTGGATCTCGTTTAGGTCTCAGCATAACAAAACCAAGCGATAACCGGTGAGTCATCAGGAACGGAGCGGATGAGATCGAGCGGGGTTGTTTAATTAGCCCCCCTAATCCTCCTAATCACTCACACCTGCGTTTGACTTGCCTGATGCTCAGCATTTTTAATCAGATGAGGGTGCCGATCATCATCATCATCATCATCATCTGCCCTGGCCCTGGGGTCACAGTGCTCGGCCCAATTGCGGCATGTGCAACATGGACTAGTATAATCTAGGGACCCGGGGAACCGAATTACAAAACTTGGGGATTGATTATTGATTGGTTTGGATAGTAGTATTATGTTCTGCTTCGCGTAGGCCAGCGCGGCGCCACCGGCTCTCCAGATTTGGTTAGATCTCATCCATTTCTTTTTCTTGCTGTATTTTGTACTTTGCCTCTTTTTTTGGGTTTTATTCTACTCCGTGGGACGGCCCCTCGCTAACCACCCTGTATGTATATATAAAACCGCTGCTTCCTGTTGCCACCTTGCCCAGCTAAGCCACTTACTTGTCAACCAAATCAGCAGGCATCAGCTTCTCCATCCATCCCCTTCTGCCGCCGCTGCCCGATGTCGACGACGGCCCAGGAGCCGCCGCACGTCCTGGCGGTGGACGACAGCCTCGTCGACCGCGTCGTCATCTCCAGGCTCCTCCGCAGCTCCAAGTACAGAGGTACTGTTCCATCCCATCCCATCCCATGACTGAATCTGAACTGAGAGCTGAGCCTTGGATGAACTGAACTCAACTGAACTGAAACCTCTTCTTAATTTGTGCAGTGACGACGGTGGACAGCGGGAAGAAGGCGCTGGAGGTGCTGAGCCTGGGCCACGAGAGCGTGCAGCTGATCATCACGGACTACTGCATGCCGGAGATGACCGGCTACGACCTGCTGAAGCGGGTCAAGGAGTCGGCGGAGCTGCGCGGCATCCCGGTGGTGATCATGTCGTCGGAGAACTCCCCCGCCAGGATCCGCCGGTGCCTCGACGAGGGCGCGGAGGAGTTCCTCATCAAGCCCGTGCGCCCCTCCGACGTCTCCCGCCTCTGCACCCGGGCCATCGCCGCCATGCCCATGCGGTAGCAACGGCCGGTCGGTGCCGTGCTGCTGATCGGTGCTAGTCTGCTAGATTGCTAATCCAATCCTCCCTCCCTCCCTCCTCTGTTGAGTTCTCACTGACGAGATAATCCCATGTACATGCGTCTGCTGCAGGGTTGCATTCCAATTCCATGGTGAAATCGAAACTGAATGAATTCCATGGCAACCCACGGAATGTATGTATGTATTCATTTACTTGCCAATGTATGAAATCCACCAATAACTGCGAAACAGTAAAGCGGCAGGCCAGCAATCAATTCAAAGAATCTGGTTGAGCAATTTTTGGAATTGGTTTACAAAGTATTTTTAAATTTGGAAGAGCTAGAATGAAAAAACAAGTACACACATACTCCCTCCGTTCCAAAATAGATGACCCAACTTTGTACTAACTTTGCACTAAAGTTGAGTCATCTATTTTAGAACGGAGGGAGTAGCATTTTGATATTATTACCATCCAAAACCACTTTTTTTTTCCTTTTTCTTTTTGCGGGCATGCTCTAAAACCACTTGAATGCAATTCAGGAACTAAATTTGCTTTAGGCTTCGTTCGGTTACACCCCCTCACAGGGGATTGGGGTGGATTGGAGGGGATTTTGACTTGTAGAGGGTGCAATCCCTGCCAATCCCTGCCAAACCCCTCCATTTTCCCTGTCAACCGAACAAGCCCTTAGGAGGGATGACCCTATGCCAAGCCTAACCTACAATTAAGGGGTGTAATTAAGCCCTAGGCAGGTTTGATGCCGCGCTTCCGTCCATAGCGAGGCTTTTGTGGTGACTTTGTTAATCTTCAAGTTTTGGAACTTGAGGTTGCGATGTGTGGCTATGTCTATATCTGTACTCCGGTTCCTCAAAAGCTAAATAAAGCACGTACTAGCTCTTTGCTTTATAGGAAAAAATTCTAACATTCACAATACGAAATCAATATCATTAATATGTGCCATTAATTTGATTTCAATAGATATGATCAAATTTTACGAAGTTTGACTTTAGACAAATCTTATATGCGGAGTAAAAATAACAGTAAATCCAAGGAAATCAAAAGACAATATTAGAGGCTCAGAGTAATCCAATAACAATAACAACGGTTTGGTTATTTCTCTTTTTTTTAATGGTTTGGTTGTTTCTTGTGTGACCGAGAAATACTTATCTCCATGTCACTGTTAATAGCCGTCGGATCTAAATATAGG